ACACACACACACAGTCATGTAAACAAAAACCGTCTGCTGTCTGGGAAGTAACACACCTGTTCAATGACAAGCTGTGCCACGCCCTCCATAATACTGCACACCTGTGCTACTGCAGGCTAAGCCTAACCTTAATCACACACACACACACACACACACACACACACACACACACACACACACACACACTTGCACAACTACTGCCCAGGGGCTAACATCACAGAAAAGGGGAAGAAAGAGAGGGAGACTGGAATAAAAGCAAAGCAGTGAAACAGGGAGGGGAAAGAGAGACAAAGGCTTTCCCACCGCTCCTATCAGTAATCTAAACGCCTGTGTAATGTCATTGTGGGGTTTTATCAAATGTGGGCTGAATCTTATGACGTTGGTATGCGGCTGTCATTCCATCACCTTGTCAAGCGCGACCATATTCAAGCAGACACCATGCTGATCTAAATAAGAGGCTTCGGCAAATTGATGGATTGCAGGTTTTCCGGGATATGAAGAAACAGGGGGGAATGAGAAGGTTTTTTTTTCTTTATACTTTGAATTACTGTAAGTGATACACCCGGTTTGGTCCTGTGAGACAGTAAAAAAAAATGTGTCTGTGTCTCTTTCCAAAGATCTGAAACAAACCCCCCATCGTAACCCCCCTCCTGCCCCGGTATGGCCAACCCCACATCATATCTACCCCCTGTGCCGAGGCCTAGGGCCAGGCATACAGCTTTCTGAATCTCTAAGGGGGGCAAGCACAAAGGTAACCCCTATCCTAACCTCCCAGCATACACCCACACACACACACACACACACGTACCCCAACCCCCATCCCAAAACAACAATCCTCTATGCCCATCATGTCAGTCAAAACCCCATCAGGGACATGCATGGAGAGTCTGGATATCTGGAATCTCAATACAGTGTCATGCACCTTGAGACCCAGTGAGAGGCCCTCTTGAATATATTTCAATAGCATTATCACCCTGCATTACTACGCTTTTTTCCTTTCAACTTTACAGAATCATCTTTAAATTGGACCATAATGTGTGTCAGCGGGTAGCGATATCAGTCAAAGGGGAGTGTAATCGGTTTAAATTGTTATGCAAGTTGGATATGTGTTTGTTAAAACAACCTCACCATCAGTCAGAGGTTTAAATATGATATGGCCATATTTTGGGTAAAATCACTTCAGTCAAATTTTGAGGAGACATGCAGCTAAATGTCTCATTAAATATATAAAATATTCTATTGTTACAAAATGTATATAATTATTGTGAAATAGATTTTAATAGTGTAGAACTGCAAATACTGTAAATAATTGAATGTGTATCATACCACATACAAGTATTGCAGAGTAATGTATAATACATTTAGTAGACATTACATTTACAATAACACATTTGTTAAACATATAGACTATTAAATATGTTGCATTTTAAAATATATTTCAAAAAAAATCCTAAATTATGAATAATTATAAGTGTGAATATTGTACTGGTAGACCTACATTGTAAATTGATTGTATGAAGTTAAAGCGTAGGTTGCATACACAATACAGTTAAAGTAAAAACATGTGTTGTTATACGTTTGGAGTCATGAAGAGTGTAAGAACATTTCTGACGACAAAACGAGCTGACAATAATATTATTACTTTTGATCAGGCTTCCTCCATTTGAAGAAGCCAGGACCAGAACCAGGACCTCAAAGACACCGAATATCAAACAGGTTTAGTTTAGATTCCTGCTAACAGTGCGCTGAGCTTAATGTGTTTGACTGGAAATGTAGAAATTATGTATTCTGTAAAAAAATAAACAATAATAATAATTTTTAAAAAGTTAAAATTCCGCACTGGACGTCTGCCTCGTTGTTTTTTTGCTGTTGTGTAAAACTAATGAATATGCAAATGAGCGGAGACATAGGATGTGTGGATCCTACACACGACAGACGATACCATTGATTCATAGGCCCGAGTCTCAACGTCTATTTAAAGCATTTGATAAATTATAATTAATGAGATTTCTCATCGAGCACGTTTACATTCATCCAGTTAGTCCAGTTAACAGACACTGTATGATTTCGAGCAGTCTTTCTTACTTTCTTTCTTTCTCTCTCTCCACACACACCCACGTACAACCCCCGCCCCCCTCACCCCTATTGAGACAGGATACCAAAGCTACTTGTTAAATCTAATGCATGCACTGTCAACCCATTCGCACCCCGTCACGTCCCCGCTCTATATAGAAACCGGATTTTCTGGTATTACCCGCACCTCTAGCAGAGCCTCCCCTTCCACCACCGCGACCCCCAGTTTGTGACCAGTACAAACCAGCATGTGACCCCGGACCCACCAGCACCAACCCATCAGGCTCCGTGGAGCCACACGATCACGCGTGAAGGAGGAAACGTTGCACAGAAACTGCAGTCAACTAATAGCTTTAATTTATTGTTTAATGGGAAATATAAGCAGTGGAATTACCCAATTCTAATTAATTACTTCAAATGGCAATGATTAGTACTTTACTAATTGATGAAACCATATAAATCTATGACAAGATTATGCTACTGGAAAACGCCTAATAATCCATGTGTGATAAAGACGAATAATCCTATAATGTTTCTAAAACCACGAGAGGTTTTAAGTCTAAAACGAGAAAGGGAGGTATGCAGTAAATTTAAAGTTGATCTGATTTGCCAAGTTTCTAAGGGAAATGTCCCACTGTGTTGCATATTTTGTTTTTACGCGAGGCTGAAACACTGAATTGATACAGAAAGCAGCTATGTCATAAACAGTTTATTGAATAAAATAAAAAATAAAACTCTTTATGATGCCTGCGCATTCTTTCCATTAATTTCTAATAGCCCACAATCTGAGCAATTTCCTTCCACAGTAAATTAGCTCGTCCCAAGGAGCTTTCAGGTTTCCCAAGTTTGAAATATGCAGAGCGTATGCTTCAGACAAAAGATAGACAATTATATATATATTTTTAAACCCACACTTGTCATTTACACACACACAAAAAAGCTCCATTCAAAACTGACCTGAGTGCGGACCCATGGAGAGGTGGGACGAGTAGTATTTCCCAGGCTGGAAGTGAGCGGGGTGCTGCACGGAGCCGTGGCCGCCTGGCGCCAACCGAGACGCGGCGCTGTGAACCAACGCGCCCCGCTCCGTCAGGAGGTGGTGCGGAGGAGCGAAATCTCGGCTTTCCATCCCGTTGAGAAGCGATAAATCCCAAATCCGAAGTAAAATCCGGAGGCACCGAAGGTCTCAGGCACCCAGATGCAAATAATCCCTTTTATGAACTTCGGGCTCCCCTCGCATTGAGCGGAGTTTTGGCTTTGCAGGGTGGAAACTGAGTCCCCGTCATGTCCTACAAAAGGGAGAGCAGGAGACACGTCAAAGCGCTGACAATAATGAGCCGACCGGGGATGTAATGCTGAAGAAAAGGCTGAGCTGAGAGACAGTCGCTGTTCATGTTTAGACAAACAAACCAGCATTTACACACAAAAAAAGCAATTCAAATTTCACAAAAACGAGCCCATTTACACGTCGTCCTCACTAGTTTTGGTGCTTGTCCTCCACGTTTCATTTAACGACGATTTATATGCCAGCCCGGGAAGGTGAGTGAAGTGTGTTCTGCAGATAAAAAAAAAGCGTGGTTGAGCTGAGTTTATGTGGATTTACCTTGCACCTCATCGTTGGAGTCTTTGCCTCCCCCCTCCCCCTCATCCTGTGACCAAACACGATGCAAATAACGCACACGGGAGCTTTCTTTATCAGCGAAAAGAATGGAAAGGAAAGGGGGAGATTTGGCTCAGGTACAAACAAATGGTGCATATACAGTACAAGAGTTCACAGCCGTAAAAAAAGAAAAGAAAAAAAGCCTCTCTCGATGAAGGACGAGTTGTTAGGTCTTTAGACTGAACAAGGACTGGCCATAAACAAGCTGGACCTCGGGGGATCTCGCACTCAAATATGGAGAAAACCTTGCATTTGGACAATATGCTCACGAATAAGAAACGCACAAACCCAAAATTATGGCGACTATATCTATTCCCCGACCTCAGAGTTCCCATAGCGCCCCCCCCCCCAAAACAGAACGAAGCGCACACGTTTCTGCTTTGATTAATGGTTGTTGTTTATGTAAATGAAGTTTGATTTCTTTCCTCATTCGGTTGTCATAAAATCGGATCCATTGTGCACTCATTTGACGAGCAGTTGTGTCACTTGAGAGGACATGATATTCTATATCTTTTCTTAAAGCAATAAACCGTGGGTTTTGTATCAGATCCAGTAGCCATACACACACATGTCAGTCTTGGATCAATGGGGTTTTATAGCTTTTTAGAATTAAATCTGACTTTACTGATCCTTGTTTTTTATGGATTAACCAAACTTGTTTCCCCTTTGATATTTGGCTTTTTTTAAATAGTTGGCACGGTTGTGACCTGGATTCTTATTTGTGTTGTTGCTTATTAATGAAAACGGTGATGAAGCAGCTATTTCTGTCAACTCCTGCAGGGTCAGCAGCAGTGGCCCTTTGCCTCCTGGCAATGGCAAGCGCCATGCATCTCCGCTACGTATACAGTATACTGTAGGCTACACTGTAATCACAAACACAAATCAAATCACCTTTATGCTCCGGTGCAAAAGAGTGACGCAATAAACAGTGAAATAGACTAGGACATCATCGACTTTATATGTATGCCTTATAGCCTATAGGTCATTTACTTAAATAGGGCTCCGTGTGACGCTCAGATAGTGAGAGCTGCGCGCCTGCGTTCACCAAACACACCTCAGCAATCCATTTATTAGGCTTCTCAATGCATGGCACGTCCATCTAGCGCTCTGTAGATGCTGATAGCACCTCCCAGGAATCAACGATAAAGGAACAAAGAAAATATCAAATGCTCTGGTGGACCAGGGGCTTGTGAAGTGCACAGACTGCATGAGCTCGGATATTCAAGTCTCCTTTACGCGCGCACACACACACACACACACTATCTCACAGACAAGCTGCTCAAGGACTCCCAACTTTCAGGAATTGTGTTTTTCTTTTTTTGCGGGGGGGGGGTCTCCAAAGTTCAGCAGCTCTGACAGAATGATTGTGTATGTATGTGTGTGTGTGTGTGTGTGTGTGTTCGTCCAAACACTCCAAAATATCCAATGCATGCGCATATCTAAATGCTTCCCATATGAATATCTGCCCTAAACTGCGAGTGCATTTAAATAATTTAATTTCCCTTTTGTCAGTGAGCACCACGTTATCGTTTTTGACCACATCTAGTCGACAGCAAGAGGGAAAATGAGGGTGAAACAGGAGAGAAACGCAGAATATACTGGAAGCGCACTGGGAAGGCAAAATGGACTCTCGCCTGTCCCCTAGGCTGTGAGAAACAATGGCCCTTCTCTCCGGGACATCAATCATAAACCACTCTCGTCTGACATTTGTCTATACATTTTTACATTTTCAGGCCGTAAACACACGTCCTCGGTGTTTACATTCCACGTCAACAGAGAGCCACTCAGGCTACATTTAACAACCTGGATCTAAATCCACTGTTATCGCTCGCCACGCAAACAAAACGACGTGAGCAGATCGCGCGTAACAGTTTGGGGGGGGAATTATCATTTGGATCGCCTGTAGTGTGTGTGTGTGCGTGTGTGTGTGTGTGTGTGTGTGTGTGTGTGTGTGTGTGTGTGTGTGTCTACGTGGAAGGCGTTCAGACTTCCTTCCACTTCACCTAGACTCCCCCAAACCCCATACACGCCTCCCAAACACACACACACACACACACGCACTTCCCAAACACACGCACACACACACCTCAACCACCACTGCCCTGAAAAGGGACAGACTATCAGCAGACGAAAATCCCCCAGACAAAAGTAGCCAATACTGGTCAAATCGACATTACATGAACTCAGCACCAAAGCCAGCAAATCCACAAAGAATTGTATTTTTCAGACATCATGCAATCCAGGTATCAAAACCTAAAATGCGCGTTTTGTGCCATTCGAACAGAAATCCACTGAATCATAAATGTGTGGACCTTTGGACAAAAGATAAAAAGGAATTAGTGGCTCAGGTTCAGGGCCCAACTCATTGCCTTCAACAATTTTGCAATAAAGTGAAGTCACAAAGCATACCCGAGACACTAAATCCGGATATTCAGAGGCCGACTAAACAGGAGAGACAAGCCCGGCCGAGCCGAAGACAGACCGGCGTCTGGACTCCTTCATACCGATGGGGG